TTTTAAGGACAAAAACTCAAAATTAACTATTGTGATTACTAAGCAAATTCTGCCAATTTTTCAAACAATTCCTTTCCTCTCTTATAACCAAATGGCAGTAATGTTTGAGAAAGCTCTCTCTCTCTCAGAAATAGTCAGGATGGTGGAAATAGAGACATCTCTATCTCCACCACAGAGAATATTTGCTTACATTCCAAGATAATAAAGATAATGTCTCTCTAGAGGGAAGGGTGGGCCAGCTGCCAGCAATTATTTTTAAGGCTGGGGATATGTTCAGGTCAGTGTTCCTCAGCTGTGATCCAAACCTAAACTGTGCACATGTTATCCTCACGTATCCCGCTCTACTTCACCACCCTGGACTTGAGAGACTGGAGGAACTGTGGCAAACACGAAACTCATGCTAGTCAAAATGGTAAATCTCTCTAAAATCCATTTGCACTCATTGTCTCCTTACCACCTAAATCTGCTGGCTCCGGAAAGACAGTCTAGCAACTGTTAGGACCCAGCTGCTTGGAGATTGCTTGACTGTTTGACACCAGATCAGCACCAACTCATCAGAACGAAAGACTCAGTAAGACATCAGTGTGGTCATGCCAGTGAATATGAATGAAATACCAGATCTGCCTATTAGTAATAACAGATTAACAATAATAGGTAATACATAATGTGTCTTGATCCTTTAACAAATGCCAGGCATTTGTGCTTTGTGCGTCCTTATTCAATCTTTAAAATCCCTTGAGAGATACATTACTATTATGTGCTCAATATTATGTTTGCATTTGGAGGCAAAAGAATTTAAGTGATTATACTAATGTTTAATAGCTCACAAGTAATACAACAGGCTGGGCATGGTGGGCACCCTGTAATCCCAGTGACTTGGGAGGCTGAGAAAGGAGGATTGCAAGTTAAAGGCAATCTTGACCCTGTCTCAAAATAAAAATGAAAAAGTGCTGGAGATATAGCTCAGTAGGTAAGCACCCCTGAGTTTATTCCCTAGTAGTAACAACAACAACAACAACAACAACAAAAGTAATTCAAACAAGGTCAAAATCTGGGAAGTCTAATTCTAAAATCAATGATTCCCTGCAATTTGAGTTTCATGTGCTCATCTTTTTGCATAATATCAGATGATACTCCCTGTGTGCTTATATGCCTTTGTGCGTTTTTGAATTCCTTTGCTTAGTTTTGAAAGCTTTTCCTTAAAGTGGAAAGTCAGAGGTTAGTCATTCATATTCTAGGGAAAGGTGTCACAGGAGAGCTGGAAAATAAACATTTCTTTTTAGTTTAAATTCTTTGGTTCAAGCATAAGACCAAAAAAGATTCACCAGGTGATAAACTTAATAGAATCAAATCAAGACTCTCCTCCCCATAGAATATAGGAAGCCAAGAGCTGACTGTGAATTAGGAAATTTTGCATGTTTTGTGGGGAGAGTGGGGGTCTTGTTCCTTGTTCTTTAATAATTTGGGGTTAAGTTTAGGGTCTAGAAAGATACAGAAGATCTTTGGATAACCCAAAGCAGCACTCACTAACATGTGCTCCTTGCTAGGGTATGAATAAGCCACAGAGCTCCTGGAATTCCCCCATTTACCACATTTACATTAAGGTGGCAGCTGTAGAGTCCAAGGGCAGCAAGAAAAGCCAGGACTGAGAAAGTCACCTTGAATTTTCTGTGGCCACAGAGAGTCATGGAAGAGGACTGAAGAGTTTCCCATATATCTCAAGGGCTGGTGGAGAAAAGAACCAAATGGTCAGAAAGAGAAAGAATAACATGCAGATTAATAACCAGAGGTGATCAGAACCATGGACAGCTCAGCAGGTGCCAAAGGACAGGGCTGGAACTAGCTAGGTGCCAGTAGTCAAAGGTAGGTTC